CCCCCCAGCCAATGAGATAAAAGAGTGTAACCAGTACTTAAACTTATCTTTTATAATGTTATATGTATACGTAAAAATGTTTAGATAAGATAAATTTGATTAGATCATATATTAATTGCGATAACTGTTAACAATGTAAACAGTGCACTGGCTATGTGTACCGTACCACTACTTTGAGTTACTAGTGTGAAATATGGTAAGACGTCGAGCGGGGCCGGGTAATCGTAAATCCACGTCGGTCCCACGTAAACGGTGTGATTGGAGTAGGCCTCCTCGCGCCAGTGTCCCGATGGCAAATAAATGTTTCTAGTAACGGCGCCTTCCTCGATCACCGGTGCTACCAGAATTGTCGTACCCAGCATGTATTCTGTAAGGGATTGTCGAAAGGGTGTGGAATTTCTGTGGGTATTAAATTATAAAACTGGGATAGTTTCGAATTAGAACGAGATATTACCGTCTGAAATCTTATGGGCTTCTTTGTTGTCTGGGTCCACCCACCATATCGGTGGGTTGACGGGTGCTCCTGTCGATACGGCTTCATCCATTATGTCGAGAATGACTCTCGCGTACTCGATGTGGAGATCAGTGTATTTCCTGCATATCTCGATGGTCTGTCAGACGTTTAAGAAGGATATTTATTTATTGGATTTTAATGTAATTTTTTTTTTGTTTTCAAGGAATTACCTCGCGGTCATAGGTCCAAGGAACGAATGAGTATTGAATTGCTGGCAGGAAGGTATTGACCTGCAACCATCTGATGAACAATTCCTTCTCAGGAGGTGTTGACGATATCAATGCCTCGTCACCCACGTACCCGTTCCCGCCTACCATATCAGGAAGGACAAATACGTAACCAGCTATGTTCATCGTCAGCGTGGTTGTGATCAGGGTCGGGAGACCGTTGTCCCAGGTCCACCTTGTATCCTTGTCGATGATCCTCACGAATCTTGGTAAGTTTTGGGTTCCCCAGCCTGATCTTATTTCTATCGAGCTTCCAAATTCAGACAGATGCTTCGAGTAGAGTGCTGTAAAAATTCCTGGTTGTTCTTCTAGGTTTCCGGTCAAGTCTGCCGGTTGAGGCAGCCAGGATATTTCCCCTGCGTCGAACTTGAAGGAATCTATTCCTGAGGATTCCTTTAGAGCATTGAGACGACCCGTGAACCTTTAACCACAATGCACTTGGATCGATCACGGATTGGTAATGCGTTTTTTTTTAATCGTTCCTTACCACGTCACTGCTTCAGGATTTGTGAAGTCGACGATCGTAGCATTGGATCCCTGCCACCAGGAAGTTTCTACTGATCCGTTGATATTCTTGACCAGGTAGCCATTCCTCAGGGCTAAGTTATAATACTCGGTGCAGTCCACGTTGATGAACGGGTGGATCCAGAGGGTCACGCGAAATCCAAGATTGTGGAGATCAGTCGTGAGGTTACGGATATTAGGAAACTTGGTTGCGGAGGTATCGAAGGTGAGACTACCGTAGCAAGTCTCCCAAAGGTCGTCGATTTCAATCTGACTGTTGGTGAAGTTATTGGCAAGGATTTCTCCGGCATATTCACGCATTAAGAAATCGCTTACGCTGACTTTGTATTTTGCCCAGGAGGACCAGATGGGATACGTGACCATAGCCTTGTCTGGAATGTCTGTGGGTTTACCTAGGAAATTCTCAACTGCGTACTCGTGGGCAAGTCTGGGATTAGCGAAAGTTCCTACGTTGTAATTGAGATGAACGTATCCACGAGGTCTGTACGGTGTGTCTATCTTGGCGACGAGACAGAGATGCTGGTACTTATAAATATTTTGATCTGGACAAAAAAGAAGCCAGGTGAGAGAACTGTCTCTTGGGTGAAATTATAATTTTTACTTACCGATAAAAAGTGGGACTGTTCTGTTAACGTAAATAAATGTTCCTTTGCCATTCAACCAATAGGGCTCGGCAATTGCGGCATTCTGGTCTTCGATGGGCAGGTAGGCGTAATCCTGATACACCATGTGCTGCACTGGCCAGAATTGTTTCTTCTGCTGAGGCCCACCGAACCACTGGACATCGTCATCCAGCTTGATGCAATTCCGATACGTCGTGTCGTTTCCGGGACTGTGCATGGCAATGTTAACAACTTCAAAGTCGGGCTGAGTCATGGTGATTCGAGTGAGGTCGTTCGACTGAATGCAGACAGCTTCGTCCGGGCAATCCTGAATGAATCTAGGACTGGTGCGGGTGGTCGTCGACTTAGCCTCGGAGATGAACAGGATTTTCAGGGCTTTCGTACCATCTGTACGGTGTGTTAATATGAGCCAGCGTTAGAGAGGAAGTCCTGCCCGTTTACAAAGGACCTGGGTTCCTTGCGAGGTAGGAGAAATTATGTGTCACTTACCAGCTCTCTCGAGCTCGACCGAGAAGTTCTCTCCATCTTCCTTAAGATTCACCTTGCGGTTTCCCAAATTTGCAGAAAAGGTTGCACCGGGCTCAGAGGATTTTCCGATGCCGGACAAGAAGATAACGAGAAGCCCCACGACGTGCACGCGCCACATGTTCACAGCGGACTGATTAGCCGGTAGCGATTCTTCTCGAAATATATATCGACCGTTAATGTGCTCTATCTTGTCGTATTACCAAACGTTAGATTAGTCAGATTTTAAATACGATGCCGTAGCGAGATTAAACACTTGGGCCTCGTACATCATACTCATATCTCTCTTTTAGCGTTAAGAGACGTCTTTTATCGACTGCTATCTGCTGTCTTTTAACGATTAATAGACGTCTCTTAACGCTAAAAGAGAGGTATGAGTATGGGCATTGATCTGTATCAGCTTTGCCTTGCTGATACGGATATACAGTTGTCGTTCAAGAGCTATAAGTATATATAGGTGAAACGTGCATGCTCCACACGAATTAATTATAAACGTGAAATATAATTCCTAATTTTGTCTGGATTTTCATAAAATTCTATGATATTCCCGGTATCGAGAGTTAAGTGAATTTCAACGTGTTTCCTAATTGCAGAAGCGCCTGGTTACGGCTAATTAAAATGTTCACCATAATGGAAAATTTACGGGATTTCGCTCGCATTACAAGCTCTACTTGATGCTTTCCATTTATTTGTTTTGACAGTGATTCGACGGTGGCGAAGAGGCGGATGAGGGGAGGCGAGCACTAGGTGTGGAAATTGCAGTAAATCCCAACAATGCGTTGCCTATCTGTGCTGGGATTGAAAATTTAAACAGGTATGACGACTGTGAATAACCCTTTACCTCGATCGCTTTAAGGAACCTTTTCCGCCAATACGTATATTGGGAAAAAATGGCCGAACGTACCGTTAAAAGTATAATATACCTTCGGCAATGTTCAACGCGGTCACGAAATTCTACGTCAATTCGTGTATATAATATCTATGCGGTCGGTGTATCCGCATCGTTATACATAACGCATAGCGGCGCGAGTCGTGTAGCGTGGACCATAGGAAAATTGCACGTTCGAACTTTCGGTTCGGTGAGTTTGTTTTTGGGCAACTGTATCCTTTATCCCGTGCCGGATTCCCACTGTACCGAAACTATTAATCGAGTCATAGAAATATCTCCGGTATTGCGGGACGTCTACCTAGAGTTTCACAGCATAGGGGATGCAGCGAACGACTCGATTTATTCTCTCAGCTTCCTGTTGTCTTTTATTATTGGATCTTTGTTTATCCCGCGCTCGGAACAACGACCGCTCTTCGCAACGCTACGGGCCAGTTGCTTTAGGTTGGATTCAACAGTTAGCATATTATACACAGAGAGCGTCGACGCTGTATCGGAAGTCCCTTTTGCTGCGTCCCGGCTTGAAATATTCCGTCGGATAGGGCGTCCAAACAGCTTATGGGATGATCCAGTAATCCCATTACAGAGGGTCATAAAACCATAGAGTCGAGAGCTGCGGCGCTCGAGGTGTCGTCTAGCTGCTATACGTGGTAAAGTAAATAACGATTTGCTAGGATCGGCCGATCGTAAATGGTCGTAGTCCTGATACGCGTTAGTCGTATCGAACGGAGGACTTTGGGAGGGGAGAGAGGAGGGTGGTCTTGGGAAATTTTTCGAGGATGATCGCACACTGGTATCGTCGTAAATCCGTCTTCCTGGATCGTCGAAAGACGCTTTTATAGACTTTGGCTTTTTCCTGCGAGAATCGTCCTGTGGCAGGTGAACGATTCCTGGCGACGGCTGATAATAAATGCCGAATAAATGTTTCCGCTCTCGCTGCTTCGATAATACACTTTTTTCCATCTCTTCAGTCGCTTCCTCTCGAACCCTCGTGCTTCTTTTCTCTTTTCTTTTTCAATTTTATTTATACTCCAACCGACCGGAAGGACTACTCTGTCCCGGTGACAGCCAGTCACTGTCGAAAGCTAAACACGAAAATATAGGTAAGACTTGCTTATCTTTCCGCGCCGATGATTGTCAGGTCTACAGAAAGATTTTGGATCTTCGTCGTAAAAAAAAAAAATAAAATCGTAAGAATCGTGCAAGGAGTGACGTAACGAATTTTTATTTTACAGCCTAAAAAATGCAAAAAAAAATATAGGCTGCACGTAGCAAGCTGGTATAATGGAGATAGAGCGTCGGGTGTATATATAGGACGAAGCTATTCGGTCTGCCGTCGAAGGTGCAATTTCGAGTGGGGCGGGGGTCAAAGGTTTCGGAACAATTAAATTAATACTTGGCGGAAACTGTTCCGTAACTTTGCCGCCTCGCTGTTTCATAACTGCGTATTAAGCTGAGTGAGATAACGCGCGTGCTCCAAACTGTATTTCGTAAGCTGGTCGCTAAGCACAACTCGTGTTGTATCAAGGCCAGGTGCGCATTATATGCATCCATTCGAGTACTATATAGAATAACGGTATATATATCCTACATATGCGCTATAGACTATACACTGTATAAAAACACTTTGACGTTCACTTCTTCCTTTCGCCTCCTATCAATGCCTACCTCACCTAACCTTTACACCCCATGTATCACACACAGCCAGTTTGCGTCCTGACGATCGGCAAATAATTGTCGAAGGTCTTTAGTATGGATCCTATGTACATTTACTTAAGAGGACATAGCGAGTTTCTCCTTTCGAGATTCGCGCACGAACTAATCGAAACTGACCAAGGGAATTACATATAAGCGATGCTACGAATAAGTGTGATCGTTGATCGTCGTGTAGAAACATTGAGATACGTTACAAATATACCTCTTAGCACGTTATCTAAGTTATCTTTATACATATATGTATACAAATATATGGCACACAAACTTCGATCGGCATTCTAGCATACCGTTTACCGTAGAAACTCCAGGACGATCACCCATAAAAGTGTGGAGCTTCGCCGGTAGGAGGTTTCGTAATTTCGCTCAAGGAGACACAGCTCTTTCGTCCTGCCATATATGCGAGGCCACAAACCACTTGGAATCTGACACCGCAGCCTTGCACGTACGGCCCTGGGTTAAAGTGGGTATGTTTGCACTGGCAGTGTTCCGCTAACGAACCCATCGCGGTGGCTTTAGCCATCCTCGCCTTTTCCTCCGTCCTCTACCCACTATATTCCTCTATTCTCCATTACTCCACGCTCTACTGGCACACTACGTAAGGTAGGTAGGAACCTCCGGTAGGAATCTCCTTCGCCTCGCCGTCTCGACTCCTCTCGTTCCAGGACTCGGAGTCGAGCCACAAATCGTATTGCCCCCGGGCGCTGCACTGAATTCTTAGACAGGGTGAAACCGGGGTGGCGCACCGCAGCAAAACCGCCAGCTGCAACGGCTTGTTCCCAGTTGCTCGTGGGGCGGCGGTTGGGGATGGGAGAGGGAAACGTATCGCTCTAATCCAATTTGCAAGGTGGGCACCATTTCCGAGCAGAATCTCTGCGCTATAGTTAATCGGATGATCACGGCTCGGAGAGACCTTTCGGTTCTTACTCACAATTGTTATTATTATTTTTACAAACTTACCCAACTCGTATATGCATATACTTGAATTCTCTTTTTTTTCAATTTCATTTTCTTTGGCTACAGGCTCTATCTACAGGCGCTAGGTTATGTTTACTGACTATGTTAAACGGAACGAGAAACGTTGGTTAATGGCATTGTGTTTCTTGATGAAAGCCGTGGTGGCTGCTGGGTAAAAGTAATGCGCCGGGGTGGCTTATGGGCCGCGAGACTGCTCCGAGTTGGATGGTCGTTACTTGGATACGTGCTTCTCGTTTATGCATAGAGTCGGGAGCTACGCGCTAGACCTACTTATCCAAAGGGGCCTGAATTTGTCAGCAGACTTCACGCTGTAGCGGATGTACGTATACGCAATCGGTATTTACTTGTATACGTTATAAACAACAGTGAGTTTCACATTGGTTGATGCTTACTAAATATCGTATCAATTAATCTTCCTGTTGCCTCAATATTTTCAATCAACCCATGCGGATCTATAGTAATTACTTACGGATAATGTATTTAACCGTATCGGCATTGCTCTTATGTAATAAGTTTTCGGAATTATCAATTGGTCGACTTGTTGACTGGTCGTGAGTCAACTTTAATCTCGATGCTCTTATCTGGCGTCCATCGTGCGCGCGTAGGAACGATAAACAATTGTTTTCTTCTCTTCGTAGAAATATGATATTTTGTGCACCGAGCCTTGGCTCGTGTTATAAAGTTCTTTTTATTCGTGAATTTTCGCGGCTATGAAACAAGCATGAAACGCGTCGAGATTTTAAGGCACACTTTCAACTTGCTCTACTGTGTACAGGGCATCGTCCCTGCTGAGTGCTCGTAAAGTCTTCTGTGAAAACGATAATATTCTTTTACAATGGACCGATCGCAGACGGCAGGAGAACATCGTATACGATATGGAGCAGTAACAGTTGTTCGCGATGCACTGGAAACAGTCGGACTCGAGTATTCGTGTATCCGTACTTGCTCGATGCTTCGAGCTCTTGGAAGGTTATGGTGACGTAACAATATTTTTCCTTTTGCTATTTTTCTTCCCAGTTATCTCCTGCAGCTTGTCTCTCCGTTTCTTGGATTAACCCGTACAACTTTTTTTCTTCCTGCCTCGTCTTCGAGTTCGTCGGATGCTACGTAGAAGGAGGCCAATGATCAAGAAGGACGCTGCCTGCCGTTTATATAGGTATGGGAGGGATATGTTGGTATTTAGGAATTCATATTAAAATATGTAAATTTATCGCTGCTTATACTTGAAAACAGCTAAATTATTCTGCCTTCCTCTTCGTCCCTTTCCGCGGGTCCTCTGTACCCTTCGAAGCGCCCTATACTTCGCTCTCCTTTACTCCGGCCAAGTTCGCTCGGCCCTCGCGCACTGGTATCGCTCCTCATGTAAAATATAGATGGGAAAAATGCTAGCAAATAAAATCCTGAGCTTCTCGCAATAACGGCCGTGCTCTCTCGAGCGACGCAAATGCAATTTATGAGGCTTATTGTCCTGGAACTATAAATAATCGTTATATTTGCAAAACGGAAATAGTCGCACTTTATATCATTGCTTTCTTAATGTACGGTCTTTCCTCGGACACCTGATGCTTGTCGTTGTTCGTTTTATGAAATTACTATAGGCGGTTCGCCTGTACTACTTTTTTTCCTGATCACAAGCAATGCAATACTTGACAGAGTATGCCCTGTGACGTCATTTTTCGATTCACGGTCACAAGGCGACGAGGTTGGATGTAAGAAAAGGGCATCGAGTCTCTGCGAATCCTTAAGATGGAGAAATAGACTGGGGAGAATTTTGGGAAAGAATAAAGATTATTTGGCAGGAGGGAACAAATCCAATTACCCTTTCTTACGGAAGGTACCTATACCCAATAGTTGGCTCTGACGTAACTGACAGCGGAAACGCAACTCTCTTCTTTCACCCTCCTGTCCCTCTTCACCGCGTTACAAAAGCCTTGTTATTCCCATCTTTCACTCTCTCTCTCTCTCTTGTCTCGCTACGCGAGGCATCTCACCATGAGCCACCATAGCGTTATTCTATCGGTCCCGATTCCGGCAGCCAACCCCCTGCCTACTTAATATATAAAACAAACAATAATCAGGCAAGAATATCGAGGGAAACTCAAATAAAGAAACGGAGGGCCGATAATGAAATGTACACAGTGGTGCCACGTGCTGTACCGTATGGGGCTATAGCATTGAGTATCCGGTAAATTTTAGTTGTATACGCTGACATGAAAAATATAGTTTATTTTTTTCTCTTATTAACGACATAGTCCCACTTTTGGATTTGGTGTTTGCCATGTTTTTTTCTTTTAATCATTTCGAATTTCTTACAACGTAGAAGCTACGAAATTCGCCGCAAATTTCGTTTGATCTCTTTCCCGCCTTCTGATATAATTTTTACATCTTTTTTTTTTATTCGCTCACTTGGAACATTTTCATGTCGTTGCTTATTTCTTACCCAAGCAATGTGAAATCACCTAAAGCCCGGGACGCAAAAAGTGGTCTGCCTTCGGAATTTCAAATTTCATGGGTTCGTCCTCCGTCAAGAACGCAATTAGAATTTTTTTATAAAATTGGAAGTCGACCTGTTACGATAACAAAGCTTAACGGGGCAGCTTGTTTTTCATGAGAAACGACCCTCAGTGTCCTCGAGGAGGAATCGATTTCTCCGTTTAATTGAAGAAAGTGAAAATAACAGTTAGAAAAGTAAAATCCATAGAGCACTCTCTATCCCTTCGCAATCGGACGGGAACGAGCCCATAGAGCTTCTTGGGAAATTTCTCATAAAGATATTTACTTCAGAGTTCACCGGTTAGCCGTATCGTAAGTTCCGTTATCTAAAAACCAGAAAAAAAAAGAACTTTTTACGACTTCATTAACTCTCCCATAAATTAACATTAGTTCCGTGCCGGACTTTTTCATTGCACGTTAAAAATTCCTCAATGCTCGCAACTTTACGTACCTGTACCTTGCTACGTGTACCCAGTGCATACACCACGCCGTCGGCTACATCCTCCGGTTCTAGACATTCCAATTTATCAAAGAACTTCTTGAGAGAGGGTGTATGCCCACTGATATTAGTTCTGACCAGCCCAGGACTGATGCTCTATTAAATAAAAAAGAATGACAAAAATTTCATCGATATCAGATAATCGATCAATATAAGATCAATATAAAAAAATCATTATTCCTCAATAATCTCACCGTAACTCTGATTGGAACTTTGATCTTAGCCAACTCCCGTCGTATCGTATGCGTCATGGCGACAGTCGCATGCTTACAGCTGGGATATAAATTCCATCCGCCGGAGCCGTCAACTACGTCGGGGACGCCTTCAGGAATTTCATGGCCCAGTAAACTGCGTCGAGGAAACAATTGAGCGAAGTGGATACATGGTTACACGGGGAGTTTACTCGGGCGAGAGAGGAATAAAAGTAAGAGGAATAAAGATATATATTGGTCGAGTGATACGAGGATACATAGGACGCAGGGTTACGAAGGAGAGAAGAAGCCCGTTAACAGAGGGTGGAATTGGCTACGCAGCTGCGACCCAGCGTTTAGCCTCGTGACCGCGTTAATTAACATCGATTAACAAGACGGGCTTATATAAACGTATCGCGGAGAAGCCAGCCGAAATAAGGGTTAGATTTACTAAATAGTTAATAGCGATTAGGTTAGGTTAGGTTTGGCTTAAGGTTCGCTTAGATACCTGTTGATATTGAAAACGTGACCTTCTGCATTGCTCTCTCGCATCATACGTACCGCCATGCTGGCGCACGTGGCCGCCGCGAGGACATTAATATTTAGCAGCCTCGCGAACGCCGCCCTGTCGCTCTCTGAAAGGATAATTTATGGAATTTTTAAAAGCCGCCCAAAGAAACATCAGAAATACAAAAGCAGCGACGCTCCAGACTCTCTCGCGTTAATTCATCAATTTTCTCGCTGCTGCTCCCCCCCCCGCAGCATCCGTAAAAATTGCTTGGACCATCGTATATATAGACTTTTTTCATCAGTCGTAACCGTCTACCCGTCTCTCGCTGCGGTGATAAATGAAAATTTATTTATTTTTTATTTTTTTTTATTTTTATTCCTACGCCCCGATTCGGCTTACCAATTATTTTTGCGTAATTCGTTACACCAGCGTTATTCACCAGCACGTTCACTGCGCCTAGATTACACTTTACGTATTCGAATACTTTATTCAGGTCTTCTTCCTTGCACAAGTCGCACTCCATCGGATGCAGATCGTCATCTCGTAATTGCTCTCTCATACGATTCAGTCCTTCGCTGTCCACGTCTACCGCAACTACCGTTAAACCGTTTTCCAGCAGAGCCTTTGTAATTGCTGCACCAATTCCGGATGCTGCGCCAGTAACGAGAGCTACTTTTCCTCGCCAACGATCGATACCTCTGCTGACACTTTCCATACTCGCTTGGACTCTCCTTTGGCACTGTGCTCTTTTCTACCGAACGCTCATTCTATTACGCAACGCGTTGCTACGCAGTGCATTCTAATGGATTAATCGAGGATGTTGATAGGGGGAACAGCCGTTGGCTCTTTCCATAGGAACTGCAGTCTGATTGGTCCCCAGTTTTTCAGCGGTTATTTCAAACGGTATGAAACGTTTGCCAAAGCATTTTATAATCTTGTTTCTTTTCTTTACATTAATACATGGTCATAAATTTTCGAGAGTTATATGAGTATACGAGGAAAGATAAGATAAGCGTAACGTACCAATCCCGTGCGATTATTATTGACAGTATGGTCAATTGGATTTTGTACGGGTTGTCAAAGATAACTTTTTCAACGTGAATTCGTCGAAGAGCCAGGCTGATATTTAACGTGGATCTTGGCGGCCACAAATCTCTTGGAAACACGACGGGGAAATATATAAATACAGAGGAGTTTCTCGTGGGACAGGAAAGCGGAAAAAGGAAGGAACGGGAGTATGGCAAAGTAGATGGAGCTTCGGTATGTATAGGTAAGAGCCCAGTATATTACATTTATTGTTCCGGGGATGTTAGACCGATTAGCCGTTGTCGACGTCACTTCCCGTGATTGATGAACTCTTGCATTTACCAAGAAATCATCCCGGCAGCTCGTTGATTTGTTTCTTCGGATCTTCTGTGCTCGGTGGACTCTATCGATTTTCGACAGCGGCGATTCTCTATAAATATTTCTTTGGATGGGTATGTCTATGGGGGAATGGCGGCTAGGGGGAGGACTCGGGACGGTTAGGGTCGCGAAGTGGTGAGGTGGCTGCGACGGCTGCTTCAGGCAAGGGGATGGTTCTTCGCAAGTTATTCCGTTGGTATCCTTGAATTTTTAAGCACACCGTTTCTCGTCCGTCGGGTCTCTTCTTCGTTCGATCTCCGGAATAACAATGGTTACGTAGAGGCGACCACGTGCTGAATATTAAAAGACCGAACCTTTGTAAGGCTGTCACGAGTAAAGTAAGAGCGAGAACATTCAGGATACGGAGAAGTTCGTAATCTTAAAATGAGGAAGCTGACCCTAGCTCATCTTCGGGAAGATAAAATCAGGAATAGATCTGCCGTGCATTGGCAGTCTCGTCTTTTTAGATCGAGTCCGTCAAGACTGTCACTGCCGATCGCGGTAACCACTCCGGGACTTTTTTCCCCATTTTTGTATAATTTCGCGATTTTTGTAATTTTTGAGAACAGATATAAAATTTTACCTTACAAATTTTTTCCTAGCCTCCAGTACCGACCCTTCATAAAATTGGTGGACTATTTGGAGAACGCCGTCTTCTGCCATATTGCCACAACGACGTACCCGCGAATTCAGAGCAAATCTGTTCACGCCGTCGCTCCCTACGGGCACTGGCGTAAACAAAACAATCAAATTCGAACCCTGAAAATTGAAGTTTAAATCAAATATTTTATTGAGAGATATGGGAACGATAAACCGTTCCCCTTTCATTGGTAAACGTTAGCCAAGTTCGTAAGGACCGGACCTACCCCAACGGGCATCTCGCGATCATTTTTATATGACTTTCACGATATTTCGCGTACACGTTGTATATGAGACGTATATACGCGTTTTGTATGTACGAATTATCGTGATTTCGTAAGTATGACGGTACCGTAGATTCCTAACTTACCGACCCCGCGTAAGAGCGACGATAACCTCGTGCCACATCGTCCGCGTCGCCATAATTTTTTTCTACCAGGCAACCACTTACCGAATCACGACGAAGTGCCAGACGTAAAAACCTACAATTTAAGGGATGATTTATTTATCGAAAACAACCCATTTCATTCGTAGATATATGTATCTTAGAAATTTAAAAAAATGTTCCTGCACGTTCTTTTACGTCGTAGTCCTATACACGTCTCGTAACCACAGACATAAACATGGAAGTCATAAATCTGCTGTGATCACGTTCCTGGCCGCCATCGCAAACACGGGATATAAGGATCCTTCGGCTTAACTTTGATCCGTTTACCCACTAGCTTCATCCCGGTTTTCTGCCCTCGCTACGTTTTCGCTTTTATTTATTTTAAATGAAGCTTGACGTGACCTGCGGCAATCCTCATATTCCCGCATTGCTCCTTGGGTTTAGCTGCTATCGGCCCTCCCTCTTTACCACCCCTTCCATCCGCCTCAACCACAACCCTTATTGACTTACGACCCGAGACGTTTGGACGTGGCATTGCGATTTTCGGAAATCTGCCCCTAGCGAAGAATCCTTAGCGGGTCCCATGGAATAGAGATTATCTCGACGTCACAGTACCATTACGTGTCATCAAATGAAAATTTTCATATGGGTTCATGACTGTCAGATTAAAATTTTCTTTTTTTAGTATCTGCTATACACGTTTACTATTTATATATAATATTTATATAGTACTATTTACAAGTAATATCTTCCCCGTGACAATACGGGTAATGGATTTTTGGTTTATTTTTCACAAATATAAATGCACGCAGTGAGCTGAAAAAGCGTATTTACCAGCGTTTTAATGGATTCGAAATTTCAATTCGTACGAGTTGACTCGATCCTGTCACGGCCTCCGTTAGTCACTTCCGGTCGGAAGCTGTCCATGGGAATCCACGTGATTTCGTATAGCAAATGAGTGAGCGACGGGCTCGATGCTTCGGGGGGTTTCTCGCTTTAGGATTTTTGTTATGCATCCAGAACGATAAGCCAGGATGCAGTTACTGCTGGATAAAACGGATGCCAGGATATAGTCGCGACACGAGATGCACCGGAAACAGGATAGAAATTCGAAGGAGATTCTCTCTGTGTGCTATACGTGCTGTATGCCATAGCGTATAGATATCCAGAGTCGAGACGGCATATTGCCTGTGTGAAGTCTGTGACGATAAGGCTATTCTTATAGAATTTTATTATTTTTACATTTATCGAGTATTCGTGCCGCTGGATTCTATGCTTTAAAAGATACGTAAGTGTATGTACAAGGAGCGCCGGTATCCATATTGAATTTCTCGAGGAATCGGTATCGCCCAACAGTGACGTCGTTTCTCAACTTATAAGACTTTTACAGGAGATTTGATTCGCCTTCCTTTTCACGTAATTCGAGTGGTTAACTTTCAGGTTTATTGGTACAACTTTTCAACTCCTACGAATATACCCAGAAGCTTCCCGGTAGTTTTCCTCGCTTTCGCGATCTCCTTCGTTTCTATTGCGACGAGCATGGAATTTTATTTATGCGAAAGAGGACTTACCGACATTCTAAAGGGACGCCTCTTACGCGTCATTTAATCCTACCTTTCTCACGCCGATTACGACTCGTAGATTTCTCACCTCGACAGGGAGAAGGAGCTCCGAGGATTTTGCAAAAGTTTCCTCGCAACGGCAAAATTTTCTTTCCACAGTCCCTTCATCCTCGCATTGTCTCGTATTTATTTTCCAGCAATAACGGCCACAACTTCCATCCCTCTTTATGAATATCCTTACCATCCGTCGGTAAAGTAGGACCGAGTCCTTGGTCCCTTTGAAAGAGAAGCTATCCCGGTAACTGCGTACAGGGAATCAACTCTGATTTTTTTTTAATATTAAGAAAATTGGAGTCGTTTAAGATTTAGGAAAAAAAAATAATCACTTGAAATTTTCATCGAGTAAAGTAATATAGACTTATATTCATTTATTCATAAAGTCAAAGAGAATATCCTGCTTTACTTCTGGCGGGGTCTCGAATGGATTTTTTAAATTTCCCGCCACGTTCACGGCTACATTCAAATCACGAGGTGTATTGGAACTGACGTTTATGGATAAGGTGATCCACATCTGACAGTGAGTTATCTGAATTTCTGACACGTGTTGAGTATGGTTAATGATGATGAGAAATATATTTTCGAATTCGCGGCACGTTAGCCTGGACCATTTTTACCGTGTACGGTCCAATCGATATTCCCTGTGGGTTAGAAAAGGTAGAAAAACATGTCGCATTGTTCGGTATCGATCTTAGCGACCGGACGCGATCAGTAGGTCTACGAGAACATTTTTCTCTCGCGTGACGTGCGTGGAGGCAGTTCTCGCTGTGGGAGATCGACAAGAAAAGCAGACGCGTTGCGTCCAGGCTCAGAGCAGATGCCCCAAACGGATCCGGTCATTTCTCACGGTTCACTGCTGGAGTCCATGATTAGCCGCATCGGTCTGAAGTCGGCCATTTTTTGTCGAGAGTGCCCGAATTTTCACCCTTGACCGTCCGCTCGGTGATCAACGTCCATGCGCGATCCCGGGACGAGATTTGATTTCAGCAGGACCACCTCGAAAGTCACGGATCTTCCACAGGATCAGGTTCATTCGTCGGACTTGACCTAGGACGTAGAAAAAGTTCCCTTCAATGAATTGTCTTTCGTCCTTTAAGATAGGCAGCCTGTTCAGAGTTGGCTCTATCTATTTTCCAATATTTTTTTTTCACCCTATCTTTTCAAGACTTTTTTTTTCTCTTTTTTTTTCTTTGTCTCCTCGATCTCCTCCAGTAAGTTGTCTCTTCCTGATTTACTTTTCTTTCTCTCTATTTCTCTTTCATGTCGCTCTCTTACGGGTCTTACCCAAAAAGCTGTTTGTTTTACGCAGAAGACCGTGAGCTTCTATCTGTTCCACAGGGTTCTTTGTTCTCAGGAACAAAAGTTCTTCGCGACGATATTACTGAGATTCCTAAGGAGCTCGCGCTCTGGGTCTCCGCGTTCGCTGTAAACGCCGATGTTCCTGGTCAACCTAGTGGGGTAGGTATAGGGGGTTTAGGTACGTAGGTAACTTGGTATAAGGTTCTTAAGCATTCCACGACCTGGACACGAGCATATATATAAAATTGAGGGTCTGGTTTTGAAAATGCAGGTTCCTGAGGTGATTTGTGGTTGGATGGGCAATGAACCCAGAAAACAACGAAACTGTGAAATTTTGAAAAAATTTTTCATCAATGTTTTCAACTATTTCATTTAGCATTCAATCGACGCTGAGGCCGGTCCAGACTGTC